CCAGTTATTGAGCCTTATCCTTATCATTTAGTCCCCATTAAAAAACCCCTGAGATAGGGATTCTTTTATCCCCATCTGAAGATGAGAAAGCTGGCTGGTTAGCTCAGCTGGTTAGAGCATTGCCTCGTGACACCAAGGTCAAGGGTTCGGATCCCCATATCGGACAGTTGCCAAAACAAAACAAAACAAAACAAAAAAGATGAGGAGAGGCCAAGTGACTAACCCAGAGTCATGTGTTGGTAAGCTGCAGAGCCTCAACTCAAACCCAGAAAGATGAATCCAAAGCCCTCTCCTCTCACACTGTACCTCACCTTCCTTCCAAGGGCAGCTCTAGTGGACAGAAAGGGGCTCTCACCTTTCCAGACCTGTCCCACATAGTTAGCCTGCTGCAGAGCAAAAGCCTGGAATCCATCTGGCAGAAAATAATCATTGGGTAATTGGAGTAGCAGATGGCCTGGAGCCTCAGGAAACATCAGCCCAGCCCACATTCCCATTGCCCTGTTGAGGAGGTCAACCCTGGGAAATCCTACTCCCTCACCCCTTCCTGGGCTCCATCTGATCTAAGTGCCTTCAGGAAGCATGGAGTGGGGTACCACTCCACACACAAATAGCAGGGAGTAGTGTGGCATAGGCCTAAGTCGGAACTCTCACCAGCCTCAGCCCCTGCAGACTTGGTAGCCCCAGGCGTTGATTCTCAGTGGACTAAGAGAAAAAAGGGGTTTTGGTGGCAGTCTACTAAAGGCAGAACCCAAGTGCCACCAGTTCTTCCACCTACTCCATGCCTGGGCAAGCACTCCCTCCTAGGTGGGGGATGTAAGTAGCAGATCCAGGCCCATCTCAGCAGAAAAAAGGGGTTTTGGTGGCAGTCTACTAAAGGCAGAACCCAAGTGCCACCAGTTCTTCCACCTACTCCACGCCTGGGCAAGCACTCCCTCCTAGGTGGGGGATGTAAGTAGCAGATCCAGGCCCATCTCAGCCAGGAAAAACTGAACTGGCTGCCACGCCACTCTTGTCTCTATGCCAGGCTCCCCACAAGAGCAAGTAGGCAGGTTGCTTAAGACCCAAACGTAGCAGCAGAGGTGGTGGCAGCGAAGGGTGGGGCGGGAGGTGGAGGGCCAGGCTGGCAGACAAGACGTACACGTGAGCAGTGACAGCAGCCCAGCCACTGGGACCTGTCCACATGCCAGATCTAGCCAGGATCAAGTGAGATGCTTGGGATCCTCCCAGCTCCTTCCTTTCCCTCCAACACTGAAGGCTCCCAGAGAGACCAGGGCCAGAAGGGAAGGCTGAAGTCTCTTTCTAAACCCCCAGCACCCACTTCAGAAGCAGGGATGAGGGCAGAGCAGTTTTTCCAGCCAGGACCCTTCCCCAGCTATGTAAGGGCAGTGCAGTGGCGGGGTGGGCAGAGGAGGGGAGGCAGATCTGCGACTGATATGATATCCACCTACACCTGACCCTTGTCTCTGGAACTCATCCTTGGGTATCCTGGGTACCTTGAAGAGGAAATGGCCCACATTCCACGAATGCTGGGCACTGGAGGGGAAAGGGACACCTATGAACAGTTGCCAAGGTCTGTTCACTTACCGACACATGTTCCCACCTTCCTCTCCTCCACACCTCCAACCATGCCAAGGCCCTCAGAGATGGGGAACAGAATCCTCCCTTGAGCCTCACAGGAACCACTCACCCAGACCTTGTAGCCTCCTCCCATACAGGATTCCAGGACACAAGGCTGATTAACAGCTCAAGCAGCATCTGATATGAAAGAGTCCACAGCAACTGCCTCTATCCTGCCTTTGGTGGTACCCTTTCTTGTGCCACTTCCTGGGCCCACACAGACTAGGTAGGGCCTTGCCAGGCCTTTCTCAGGGACAAGGCTTCCTTGCCCAGATGAGGCCAGGAGCCAAGGAGTATGGATAGAAAGCTGTCAGTCTACACCTCACAGGGGTGGACAGCATCCAAAGCCAGGTGGCACCTTAAACGTGGTTACTCACTGCCCCCCTCAGAAGCCTGAAACAGCCTTGCTTCCTCCCCACACTCAGAGAAGCAGATCTGGCTCCTGTTGTGCTGGGCTGGGGAGGGAGAAGTGGGGGGAGGACCCTCAAAAGGTCAGCCTATAGCCTGTCTTTCTCTGACAGCCAGAAGATGAAGGGCCCCATGCTAACATGCTGGTGGAGGCAGCCCAGGGTGCAGAAAGCTTGGGTTCTCAGCCTTCCCCAGGACTGTGTGGGGCCTCTCCTGTCTGACACCCCACTGAGAGGCCCCAGTGCCCAGCAAAGAGCTTGGCACAGATCAGGTACTTAAATATTTGCTGAATAAAAACAAAAAGAGTGAGATCAGTACATCATTCCTCCTATCTGAACCTCAGTTTCCTCCACCATGATATCAGGAGCATGGACGAGGAGGCTGTAGGTCCTTATAAATCAGATAGTCTATGATAGACACGAGAAACTGAACCCTGGGGATCTGTGTTTCCTTGAACCTTTTACAATCTCCACCAAGAAGAGTATTCATTGCCCAGCTTCCAGAGCAGGTGGGGACCGAAGCGTCCCTGAGCCACCCCAGGTGCCAGGGTGTGACCCAGCTCTAAATGGGGACACAGGTGTCTTATGGAGTGACCTAGGATTGGAAGGGGCAGGATCAGAGGGGCCACCTTGACCTGTTCATTCACCCTCTGTGCCAGCCAGATGTCTACAGCCAGGCCAAGGAACTAGGCCTGGATCATGAGTGCTCGGTCCGACCCCTTGGCATATGCTAATATGAACGTTTTTACCACCCTTTTCTTTGTTGTGTTAAACATCAGTTGAAGACCAGGTGCTGGGATGAATGCCTCACCCATATCACTTAACCCTGGCCAGCCTACCTGTGAGGCAGGTATTTTTATTGCTACTCTGCAGATGATGAAATAGAGGCTCAAAAAGGTTATGTATATTCCTGAGATCAGCAGGACAGCAACAGGACAAAATCAGAATGGGGGACTCATAGCCTCGAGACTATGCTTTCAGGCCACTATCCCCAAGACCAGCACCAACCAAGACAAACTGTGTCCAGCCAACCCTGGACACCCAGGACTCATCCCTTGGGGTCCACATCTTTGGGAGAGTTGCATAGTGGGCTGTGTGGAGGCAGTGGCTAGGCCAGGTTCTTCTATGTCACTCTTCCCTGGACCCACCTCCAGCACTGACCCCAAGGTACCCTGCTGCCTTGGCCCTTTCCCATCCTGGAATTAGCACCTCTGACCCAAGAGGCAATGTGCTGCTTCCAAAACAGGCAGACATGCTGATGAGGAAAGAGGCAGCCGCCAGGACCCTCCTCTCTTCCACTGGGGCATTAAAGAGGGCTCCGGCTGGGCCAAGTGTGGGAGAGGCAGGAACTTTCAGACACCAGACCCTGGAAAGGGTGGGGATTGGGCATCTGGACTAGGTGCTTCCCACTCAGAACTCAGAAATGTAAAAGGCCAGCCTGCCCCATCCCGCTCAAGCCTCAGTGCTCCTGACTTCAGTTAGTGCCATCTCCCAGACATGCGACTGTAAAACCTCAATATCTACTCATCTCTCACAAGCCCATGTCACCGCTAGCCTGGGCCAAGCCATCTTTCTGATGGCCTCTCTGCCTCATCTCCTGCCCTCCTCCACCTGCCCTCCAGTTAGCTTCCTAAAACGAAGGTAGCAGATTGTGCTGCACCCTTCCTTCCAACGTGCTGTGCCTCCCCACCACCTGGTGCAGTGAACCATTCCACCTCTTTCTCCACCCACATGTCCACTGGCCACACTTCCCATCATCCCATGTCTTCAGGCCTTTTTTCTTGTAATTTTTTTAGCCAAGTGGATCTTCCCTGCACAGCAAAATTCTACTCATGTGAGAAGGCCCAGCGAAATCCACCTCTTCTCTGAGCCTCCTTGGCACACCTGCATCCTCCCTGAACCACAGCTCAAAGTTCTGCAGACATCAGGCACAGCGCCTCATTGGAGAATCATTTGTGTGGGACTGACTTGCCAGCCACATGGAGTCCCCTGAGGGCAGGGCCAGGTCTGACTCAACCCTATAGTGCAGATATAGAGCAGAACCTGGCACACAGAGGAAATCAACACATCCTTGTTTCAACTGAGTGCCCCAGTGAGGTCTGGTCAGCAGATGGTGGGTAGGCTGTAGGGTTTGTCCACTTGAGCTCTCCAGGCAAGGAAATCAGAGATGAGGATTCTAAATGCTTGGTCTGGCATGGCTTGGAACTGGAGGCTGAAGAACTCTTGGCAGAGCAGCCAGCCCATCCAGCTGTGGGCACCACCCCATAGCATGTTAGGAGGCTACATTGACAAGCCCTGACTCACTGAAAGGTCTAAGAACAGCCAGACACCCACAGGGTGCCAGTGATGTTGAGTTAGTTTCTGACTCCAGCCTCCTGGACACTCATCTGGCTCCACTTGCCCCCCTGGGCCCTCACCCAATGAGGCATCTTGAAGTCTAAGGAAATGCCATATCACTGGGTCGGGGCACCAAAATTGCTGGAGAGGTGAGAGTCCAAGCCCCATGCACAGGGGCTGCCCTCTCAGCCCCCTACAGCCACGGCAGGAGATCTGAGGGAAGGAGAGCATAGAAACAAAATGCAACCCCAGAGAGAAAGCAGAATCTGAATGGCCTGGCCTTAGAGCACTGGCCCCAAATGGAGATGGAAGAGGGAGGCACAGCAAGAAGAGGAGGCAGGGGACCAAAGTCCCGACAGAAGCTAGGGATTCACTGTGGTATGGTCCACTGCACTCAGAAATCCATGAGTAACCATGAGCAAGGGGAATCAGAACTTGGCAAGTAGAAAGCCAGCAAATAAATGCCTGAAGCAGAAGTTCAGGCTAAATCTGGAAGGGACTTCACACTCAAAGAGGAGGTGATCTATAGGACCAGCTCAAAGATTTCTCCACCCATTCCTCAGAAACCAAAATTCCCCTCCCCCAACAAGCCCCAGCCCAGGTCCATCCATGTGGCAGAACCCCAGGGAGTCTCCTTACCATGTGGGGATTGTCATAGTAGACAGCGATGGAACGGAGCTTGGGGGAGACGCTGCAGCTCTCAGTGAAAAGCCGCCCAGTCTCACCATAAGGCCCCATGTGGAACTTGTAGGCCACAGTGATGTTGCGGATCGGGGGTGAGCCAGCACTCACTGCCACCCCAGCCAGCAGCCCTGAGTACCCGGCAAAAGCCAGCAGTGTCAGCAGCAGTAGCAGAGTCAGGCCCCCAATCAGGCCAAGTAGTAGCAGGTCCGACATGGCTCTGGGCCCCCCACACTGCACCCTAAGGAGACAGAAGGGAGAGGAGGCTAGGAGCCTGCTCTGACCAAGTGCCTACCTGCCCACCAGCCGGTTCTGGCCCAAACTCAGCCCTGCCTTGGGTGCTCTGACCCAGGAGAGGGAGGGGCCAGAGGTGTTTACACATAAGAGTGACCTAGAAGGGAGCTACAAAGGATGACTGAAGCCACAAGCCTCTTTATTTCTTAATCACAGTTGTTGAAGCTCTCGGAGCAGCTGTGCCTGTCAGCTGGCAGCCCTGGTCACACCTGGGGAAACTGAGTCACAGAAGGGCACAGATGTGAGTCAACCAGGGACATACTCCTGACCCTAATCAGTCTCCTCCAAGATGGGCCAGACACTAGCCAGCCTGTTTTTTCCCACATTGCCTCTTCCTTCTCACAGCTGAGCCACACTGCCAGTCCAGATTCCCCATGCCTCAGGGACCACTGGCAGAGAGAGGACGGGCAAACGTTAGGGTCTAAACACTTATTAACAAACAGGGCAACCCTGAGGAACGAAACCCTAGGGGGAAAAACATGCCACAGGAAGAGAATTTCATAGGAAACTGTCCCTTGCTAAGTACATCTGGCCTGCAGGGGCCTTGCTATCCAGCAAGCTCACCCATCCAGAACCAGAGGAGAGACCAAAGCAAAACAGCCTGAGCAGCCAGAACAAAGTCCAGCACTAAGCTTCCCAGACTTGAACCATCAATGCTAACAAGCTTCATCCCACTTTTCCATCCCATAGAAGATTGGAAACAAGAAGTAGAAGGAAAAGACTGCTAGAAGTGGAGACACACAATAGGGAGAAGTAACAGTTATCCATAAGAGGCAGAGAAGCCACACAAAAGCAGGCTCAGGAACACAACAGAGGTCAGTGTGTGAGCGATTCAAGGCAGACTGCCTAGGCCTCCACCCACCTTGGGTCCAGAGGCCTAACCCTCTTACACAGAGGGCTTGACCTGAGGTGCCCAAGAGAAAAAAAAAATCACAGTCCAGAAAAGACTGTTTAAAGAAGAAGAGAAGCATGTGACCCCTTGGGGAACATTTCCACCCCAATTATTTTAAATTAATATTTAAAATTTTAAAGGTTTTTGAAGCTGAAAAGGCAATGCTTCAGCCCTATGGAAAACTTAGCTCTACAGAATTCTTTTTTCCCTGTAGGTTGGGAATTAAGATTTTATGCTGAAAAATCATCTTTGGAGTCAATGAGCCCACAGCATTTACCTCACAAAGAGGCAAAGTAAATTTCTAAACCTTCAGTGTCATGACATTGAGGTGCCTCCCACTGGTCTGCTCAGCCATCTATGCTCCCGCTGGTAAGTTTCTCTATCTTTTCCACATGCATTCCCTGTCCTACTCATCTTGACCCCAGTTAGTCTTGCTTCTAGTTTCGTTGATGATAATGATGATGATAAATCTTCCACTAAGCACTTACTATATGCCACACACTGTTTAAATGTTGAAACATAGCTACTTCACTAATCCACAAAATAATCCAAACAGGTAGGTATGGATCAGAAAACAAGTGGTTGTAGGTTAAGTGATTTGCCCAAGGTCACAGGTATGAAACAGAGCCACATGTACCAAAATGCAGGCAATGGGAACCAAGGCAGACTGACTCCAGGCTCCCATTTCTACTTTCTCTCCCCTCCCTAGTGACTGACTTCCAGAAAAGCCCAAGCATTTCAACCACGTTGGACATCTCTGAACCCGAGACTGGAAGCTCTCAGCATGTAGACCACCACTTGCTTTGGGAGTGACAAGCCCTCGCTCTGACCTACCCTCTCAGCTGCACACTTTCTGTCTCCTCAAGGGAACTTAACTTTCCACCTTTCTCTTCCCCTCATCTCTCAATCTGCTCCGAAAGGGGGGGAAATGCACCTGGGAGCCCCAGAGCTTTGGTCAGCAAAGGAAGACAGAGGGGCAATGCGAATTTCCCCCATACTCGAGAGAAAATTTAAAAGGGCTGGAGAGGCTCACCTGAAAGCCAGGCTCACTTTTAGCAACTCATGTCATCCAGCGCGGCAAAGGCCAAGTGCTCCAGTGCTGGGGGCGAAAAAGAACAGTCAACCCAGCCCAGGAGATAACTACTGAGATAGGCACAATGACCTGACTAACCCCTTTTCAGGGAAAGCCCACCGGGGCCTCTTCAGGCACCCCCACCCCACCCTCAGTCCCCTTGGGGAAATCAGAAGCCAAACCCAGCCTCACAATATCAGGGCTCTTCACTAGGACCCTGATCATGCTCCTCTTCATGGAGGGCTCCAGCCACCACACTTAGGGCCGAAACAGCCCCCGCCGCTGACCACAGGCAGGCTGTGTCCTCTCACGGGCCTCGGCTCTTTGGCCGGGATGAACGCCTCCAGCAGACTGAAGGTGAGCGTCAGGGAGGGCCGCCCGGCGCTGGCTTCCTGGTGCCGCTCACTTGCGCCGCTGCGAAGGGCTGGACCCTTAAAGGGCCCCGCCGCCGCCAAAACTTTGGCACTAGCCTGGAGCTGGAAAACAGCGGCTCCGAGGGGCCTGCACAGGAAGAGGGGGGCCCCTCCTCACCCAGAGACTCACCGATTTACCCAGCCCCTTTCTCTTAGCGCACGACTGGCGGAGTGCCATTCACATCCGCAACTTAAGGGACGCTAAAGTTTGCAGCCCAGGCAGCGATGCGCGGCTTTGGGGCACGGGGGCGGAGTTAAGACGTAACTCCTGGCTCTGTCTCTCCACAGCTCCATTGCCCCGGGGCGTGCCCTGCAACCAGCGACCGAGACAGTAAGGGGCCCGGGATGGTAGGGGCTGGCCCAAGGTCGTGTTTAGGCCCTCGGACCCGGCCGGGGCCAGCTGTGGATAAGACGCAAAGAGCGACCCAGGCCAGGGCGTCACGGAGGGGACGCGGAGAGCCCTGAGGTGCCAAGGCAGACAGGGGTCCCAGCCCCACGCCCCGGCGGGGACGCCTCTCTTCAGGTCCGACCCTCACCTCAGCAGCCGCCCACCGCGGACGCCGATCGCACAGACAGCTCGGGGCTAGTCGCGGGGCCTGCGCGCGCCCGCTGCGCACGCTCGCTCCGCCCCCTCTCGCGGCGGGACGTGGCCGTGGCCGAGACGCGTGCGCGCGGGACCTGGAGAGCGAAGGCTTGCCCCGCCCCGTCTCGGCGGTAAGGGGCGTGCGCCGATTCCCGGAGGTGGCTAGGGTGGAGCACAGCGCACACCTTCCCGCCTCCAACAAACTACTGGGTTGCAGAAGGTGAGTCGGCAACACCACAGGGCTTCTGGGTTGGCGGTAGCACCACAGCGACAGCCCGTCACCAGCCGTGGAAGGAAATCAGACCGGTGGCCCGCAGTAGAGGGCCAGCTGGGGTCCAGGAAGCCGGGATCGGGGAGGAGCGTTTCTACAGGTTAGGGAGGTGCAGCACAATATTGTCAGCCTCTGGTGTTTGTACCACCAGTCCTGCCACTTTCTCCTACTGAGGCTTCACGACAGACCTGGGAACCAAGCAAGACAGGGTCATTTGCTCCGGTTTTACACCAGTCTGGGTTCAGGGAAGAAGCTGGTGGGTCCAACCTCTGGACGGCGCAAATATATGCTTCCTGCCTCCACCCAACCCCCTTCCGTGAGTACAAGGGTGTTCATTCATTCATCCAACGTTTATTGAGTACCACTCCCTGCCAGGACAGTTCTAGGGGCTGGGGATACTGAATGGACAGAAGCAAGGCCCTGACTTCCTAGAGCTCACATTCCAGGGGAATACACTCCTTCAAGGCTCCGCCCTCAGTCCCTGGGTGTGGCTGGGGGACGCTGGTCTGCCCTTCTGGTTTAGCGTAACCCAGGTAACTCTCAGGTCGAGTGTAAGCTCCTTGAAGACAAGTTCAATCTTTCTGAGGACTTACAAACTACAAATCACTCTGCTAGAGACCCAAAGATAAAACTCTGCCCTCCTGAGAGGCCCAGATTTGCAGTAGAGGAGTTGGGGAAGGTGACAAGTATGCTCATAACCTTGGCTATAAGACAGGCTGAGCCAAGAGCTATCCTGGTGCTCCTGACAAGGATTGATGTTTGCGAGGGGGATCACTGATGAGGACACCAAGAAGGCAGCCATGGAGAAAGTCAGCAGCCATGAAGTGTTACATATTCTTATGGATCCCACTACTGCACTTGCAAAGGGCAGGCTGGGCATCCAGAGGCAGTCCTAATCCTGGCTTCCTTTTCTCTGTTTCACATTCTTCCTTTCACAGGCAAGAAAGATTGAATCTCGTCCACAGGGCCAAATCTGTCCCAGCCTTCTGGGCAGCCTGGAAGAATGGGCAGCTGGCCTCTCATGGGCACTCAGGGCCGGGCCAGCACAGCTGTTTTACCTGTGAATATCAGGCATGTGATCAAATTCTTCAGGTGCCCCACCCAGGCAGGTGTGCTAGATACCCATGGAAGGATTTCCCTTTTCTGTGCACAAGGAGGGGCCATGGCACTGGCTTGGAGACAGTTTCTGCCTGCAGTGTCTGCACAGTCAACTCTCCTGCTTCTTAGAAGCTGATGAGCTAGCTTCTCCCAGGAAATTGTTGTCTGGAGCTGCTCTTTCCTCATCTTGTCCTCTCTGCTCACTTCCTTCAGACTGGTAGGGAACTCCAGAGCTCCACTTCAGAGTTCACACTGTGCCTTAGGAGCTTCAGCCCCTCTGCTGTGGAAGGAGAGTCTGTCTGTGACTGGGCTGCAAGCCATCATCAACCTGCCAGGCTTCATCTTAGGCAGCTTTCAATTAGTGTTAAGTGCCACCCTTGGCCGGATCCCTGCAAGGCCATGGCTGACCACCAGGAGGCAGCAGCCTACTTTGCTAGGCACTTGAACAAGTCTAGGGAGACCTCGCCCTGCCACCTGTCCCCCACCCCATGCTCCACTCCCAGTCCTATTTCGCAATAGCACAGTCTCCTATCATGAGCCCAGACTTGGCCTTTGTCTCCTGTTTACTTCCTCTGTCCAATGAATCCCCACAAAGGCTCTTTAATTCTCCTTTCATAAATTAGATCCCCCAACTCAGATGTGAGAGAATGCAAATGCTGTGCAAGATGTTCTCCAAATGCCACCCCAGCCATTCATAGACACACCATCTCCCACCCTCTGAAGGCACTGATGCTACGCCTAGTCCCCAGCCACTCACAGCCTAATCTGGGCTGCCCTTGTAGGACTTGCCCTGGCCGACAAAGTTAGCTTCAAGCTACTCAGCTTCACTGTTTCACCTAGAGCCTGGAAATGTGATCCTCTTCAGGTAAGCAAAGGCAGAAAAAGCCTAGTGAACCACACTGAAACAAAGAGCCTGCCAGCAGTCTGCCCTCTGTTCCTGCTTATCTCACCACCCAAGTGCTATGCTCATGCCTGCTATGCTTTAAGTTATATTCCTTTCACCACCCAAACAGCTGTCCAAAGAATTGCTTGATCAAACAACACTGACTTCTTGAGTTTAAATTTTATTTTACAAAAAGAGAAATAAAGAAAACTGATAGGCAGTTATACTGACTTACAATTGTTCTGTTTGCTTTTTTAAAAAAGTGACATGAAACACAAGTAAAAATAAATACGTCATAGAAACAGCCAGTTGCCCAGTCTCTGGGGCAGGAGTGCCTGCCCTGATGAGAGGAGGGAAGCCCATGATCACACCAGTAGCTAGATCACCCAGCCACAGATGCTCCTCAAAGCCAGGCACAGGTCCCAGGCCTCAGGGGCGTCCTGAGGAAAGAAGACGGAAAACCAAAGCCAGGTGCCAGGTCCCTCAGGCCACCTCATCTCCTCCCACTCCTGGCAGCAGTGTGGCCTCAGTGGTTATCCACTGCAACCCCTTCAACCCACATGGACTCTCTTCCCCTGACCCCTCTGAAGAGGGTACAAGGAGAAAACCTGTCTTGGGCCGGCTGGGAGGATTCTTCAGGTGAGTCCCCAGCCTACCATGAGTAACACAACCAGATTAACTCATTTTACATCCAGGTGCACATGAACACACACACCCTCTCAATCAAACACACTCACACTAGCTGGGCTGAGCTCTTCCAGGGAGGGGTCCTGGGTCAGGTCACAGTATAAGATCCCCTCTCTTCTGAATATCATCCCAGTAGTGGTAGCAGAGTACCCAAACCTCCCCCTGCCCTCTGCATTGCAGACTCTGCAGCCTGCCGGGCTGCCTCTCCATCAGTAAGGCCTGTGAGAGGGGAAAGGTGGAGACTCATGCCCTGAAAAAAGAAGTTGGGACACTGCCTGCTCAGGAAGTTCATCATTGTTAAGACTCAGGTATTCATAAAAGGCCTGGGCCAAGCTAATGGTACAGAACATACATTAAGGGTCACAGCAGAATACTCAGGGCAGAAGAGAAGAGTTGGTAGGAGGGAAACAGAGTCTGAAGGTGACCAGTGAGAGAGCAGCATTCTCAGACAGGCCTTGAGGAGCTGATTTCCTGGGAAGTCAGCGGAGGGCCAGAAAGTCTCCTGGGGGTCCTTTGGAGGAAAGGATAACTTCTCTTAAGAGCTTTGGTAGGGGAAAAGCCACTTAGTTGGGCACATAGAAGGCCATGGCTCAGAAGGGAGAGGCTGGTCTTCCGAGAAATCAAAGGGAAGTGGGAAGCAGGAGGTAATCCAGGAACACTAGGAACAAGGAATGTAAAGCCCCCAGAAGACCTTCTGCATGGGATGAGGACTCAGTTCCAGAGCAATGCCGGTACTGAACAGACTGACACAGAAGGCCCTGCTCTGCTGACAACTTTGGAAGTGACAGTCCCATCCAGACCACTGAAGTTTGGTTAAGTGTTCCAACCAATCAGCAAAACTTTACCCCTGCTTTTTGCTTCGTGTTCCTGGAGTGGGAAATTTCATATTTAGTTGTGAATCACAAGTCTATAGAAACTCCACACACTAATTCCTAGGGAAGAGAGTGCCAAGGACCAGATATAGTTATATTTAAGTCAGGAGATAATGAGATAAATGCTTAAGAAGCACAACTCAAAGGGGCAAGGACTTCACAGATGTCCAATTCGAAGAAAACAATCTGACCCAAAATTGTTCACTTACTTCTTTTGTTAATAGCTATTTTGTCCCTGCTCAATTTTTATCTGTACAGATATTAAGAAAAGGAAATCAGGCATTACTACAAATGGTAATCCTGAATCATTAAGTAGCACTATGTTCCCCAGGCTGAGAACTTAGGCTAAACCAGATGGATGGGGCTTAAGAAGCTCTTAAAAACATTCCGTGGAAGACAATAGTGGGAAAAAATGACTGATCTTCCACCCCTCTCTCCCTTTTCACCAGCCTTCCCTCACTCAGGCCTGGATGGTGGGTGGAAGCTACCACCAAGGGTTTCTGATCAAAGAAACTGTGAGACATGGTTCTTAGGCTCTGAGACATTTCCTGCTTCCTTCACACACATGCTCATGTTTGCTGTGCATGCACATT